TTTCCCTGCTCTTCCTCAGCATTCAGCATACAGCGGCAGCAATACGCCTTTCATTATGTGGACCAGGAGAGCTCTGCATCCTGCATAATAGTTTCCTCCTCTGATGCTGGGATTGATGTGATGGCAATTTCTGTGAGTTCTGTTACCTGTCCTAAGAGAAAATGCATACATGTGTGGGCGCACCCACACATTGCTTTTCACTGCCTGCTTTCAAGCTGATGTGGAAGCTGTAGGGAAAAAATGAATCTTATTTGCCAGTTAGGTCTACTAATTACAGGACTTTTTTTTTTTTCTTTTTTTTTATAAAAAAAATTGTTTTCACTTACAGCCTTTGCAATCTGTTTTGAATTAGGAAACACTCAGGATTAGAAAGTGTTTTCTCATTAGAACAAATGCCATAGATTTAAAAACCTCTTCATTTAAATTCCTCCTAATGTTCTTTGGCTTGAAAAAGTGAGCTCTTAATGTCCATTTTAATTAAAGCATTTCAGTGGGATTCCAGCTGGGCACCAAATGACAGCAGGTCTCTGAGAAGTGGACGTGGTCCAACTAAGAAAGGGAACTCCAGGGTGGGAACTTCAGCAGAAGCTGTCCTTTTTAAGGAGAAGTGCTAAGGGAAAAATAAACTAAGGTCCACCCAGAAAAGCGATCCCACACTTCAAGTGGGTGCAAGAATCTCATAGTTTGTGAGGTGCTGCCTGGGGGTGCTGGGTTTTGCACTGGGGCAGACGTATATTGCCCTCAGCTGCTCCGTACTGCTGTCTCCTTGCTGCTGTACCAGTTTGCAAAGCATCAGCACGGGCATTTGCAGTTAGTGGGATTGCTGGCCATAGGTTTTAGCACCCTACCTCCGCTGTCAGGTTCCTCCTCTTTTATCCACTGCCCCCAAAATTTCTGATTTCTCACTTTAAAGTGCTGGAAAATAAAGCCTCATCCAGCATATTCACATTCCTTTCCTAGAGCATGGAAAAGGCCGAGGGCAGCACACTGATGGGGATTATCCAGCACCTCAATGCTCTTCTTTCCTAGCTACTGAACAGAGAGCACCGGTGCCCCACTTTTCTCCAGAGCAGCCTGGGGCAGCGCAGAGGGACAGAGAGGGACCGGACAGCCATGAGCCAGCAGGAGGTGAGAGCATCATCTGGGCAGTGTTCCTCTGCAGGCAGCGAAGGCAATGGAAGAGAAGCAAACAGCAAGGTCAGATTTGCACTGATGGAAATCAGACAGCTCCAGTAAAGTCAGAAACTTTGCCTGGGTTCACACCAGCATCGTGTCTGGCTTGCTCTCTCCTGCACTGAGTGATGAATAAATCCGGAGACAGTTAATAATGAAAGACTATTAAGAAAAGATTTAGTCATTACTGTTCGTGCGCTTCTATGCCCTGTCATTTGTCAGGCACTTGAACCAAACATGGGAAATGTCAGTCCCAGAAATGCTGCTGATACCCATCCTGGTCACAGATTTATTGGTGCTTGTGCCCAGACAGCATCCAGGGGAGGAGTAGTGAGACCTGGGCAGGAGTTTGCCATGTGCCACTGCTTCCTTCCCTCGGCACAACCCTTTAAACCAGTCACCTTCACTCATAAACAGTTACCAGTATCAGAGCTGAGCAGCATTTCTGGGCCAAAAAGCACCTTGTGTTATGTTTTTGAGAAGGAAATGTTCTCAGCTCAATTGTTTAACCTCCAAAGTCCAGGCAAAGAGATTCATTTTGAATGATCCTTGGAAGTAATATTATTTGCTCCCCACTCCCCACCATATTAATTGTTTCTCTTTCTTTTTAGAGAGAATCCTGTTCCTGCTCTCACGTTCACACCTTATGAGTTGGTGCACGTCGTGTGTGAGGTGGAGCAACTGTTTAAGAGCGTATCTTTGACGACAGTAAGAAAACATAAAAATAAGCACAGGTTTTGTTTTCAGACCATCTTCAGCCGCATGTAGTGTACAGTTCCTGGAAGGAAAAACACTAGGATATACACGGTGTGTACACAGGAACAAAAAATAATGCCAGTAATAATGCCATATTGCACGGGCGTCCTGCACTCATGGCAGCAGCATTGTGCTGGACTGACCCAAAATGTGTGTCCCTTCCCCATGAGGGCAGCTGTGTGCATATAGCAGGGCCATGCAAGAGTCATCTGCTTTTTGCGTCTGTGTCCGCAGAGTTTTTCTCTGTTAACACAAAGTTGGATGAGCCCCAGCTCCCCCCTTCTGACATCCTTTTATTGCTTTTAGAGTGACTTTGAGACGGGGTGGAAAAAGAAATCTGACAGCGGTAAGTTCCAAGGTCAGTGCTGCTCACCCATCTCTGTCATCCCACTGAGCTCATAAATTGGTGTTAACGCCTCCTGGAAAAAAAATAAAAAATAAAAGACATATAAAAAGAGAACCTTGTTCACACTTGGAGGCATACCCGTCACTAGGGCAGACTCTGTGAAGCGTGACTACAGCAGGACTGCGAGTGTAGACAAAATCCAAAGCCCATTCAGTCCAGCTGTGATCCTCAGCCCCTGCAAGCATCCATCCCGGCACCCAGAGCAAGCAGGAAAGAGCTGCCTTTTTAGGCAAACTGTTTTCTTTTTAAACATCATAAAGCACATGTATATTTTTGTTCCTCTTTTATTAGAAATCCCCTTTTGCAGAATGATCATTTTTGTTCTTTCTTCAAACAGCTGCTTATAACAGGGCTTCATGGTGTGGAAAGTACAAATAACTTAGGACCTTTTGAGATGCACCCCTAGCCTCCTCCACTAACTATTCTCTTTAGTGGGATTCATAAAATCTATTACTGTTTCTTCAGATTGGCCACAGTGTGACTTTGGAGAATTTTTTTTCTGTGTTGACACTGTTGCTTCATTGTTATTCTTTCTGTACTGGTGGAACAAAATGAAAAATTCATTAAAAACAGAGAAAAAAGGGAAGGAAAGCAAAGCACTGGCATTTCTCTATCTCCCAGCACAAGAATCAAATGTAGGAGATTGAAATCAGGGCTATGGGAAGAAAGGGGTGGGAGGGTTAAATGTCTGAAAGGTTCATAACCAGACACTCAGTGTCCTGGGCAAGCAATCTGTGCTGATAAACAGGAACAGTTGCCTCCTTTCCAGGGAACCACTGTCCAATTAGGAGCTGAAGAAAGGTCTCACAGGAGGACTTGCCACCTTGGGGCCAGCGATGATTTTGACACAGTCTCCTACAGCATCCTGGCATCCAAGCTGGGGCTAGGTGGGGGCTTTGTACAGCACTGAGAAATGAGCTGGGTGCTTGGGCTCCAAAGGGGTCAGGGTGGGTTGTGCCCTACCTGGAGGCCAGTTACAAGGAGTGTTTCTCAGCAGTCTTCCAGGGATGCGTCGTAACAGCCCTAGTGATAACCTAAGGAGGAGATAAAATGCAACAGATTGCAGGGAATACCAAAGAGGAGTTTGCAGGTGCTCGAGAGTATGGTTGCCACTGAGCAGGGTGTGCATGGGCTGGAGGAAAGGGAGGCTCCCTGGCACGTACCAGCCACGTCTGGCACAGCTCGTGACATGGTGCTAAACTGGGGTAAGTCCAGAGACACCCAGCTGAGCCCTCCAGGGTCCCTGCCAACCTGAACTCTCCTGGGGTTCTGCAGATCCTTGATCCTCTTCCCAGATCTGCTGTGGGTTTGCTTTGCTGTGCCGTAGCTTTTCATTTTCCTCATGAGAGGCCTCAACTTCTGTAATTACCCCTACGTTACTTTTCCACCCCATGACAGGGACAGCCCCCCAAACAAAGACCTACATCTTTTAAAAAAATAAAAGTGACAATCCAAAACATTTCCCAGGATCTTTGCTTAGGAACGTCACAGGGAAGAGCAATTCTTTTTGTGATCAAGAGGCTTAACTTCAAAAGCATCCAACCTGCAGCTCTCCGTGGGACACCTTTCTGCAGGGTTATTAGTAAGAAATAATTGTTTTAAGTGCAGGAAAGGATGTGTACTTTCCATTCTCCTCCAGAACCCCTGCATCGTTTGTCCTTAGTAAATAATGAAAGATGTTTTTGTACTGCTGCCCCCCCTTAGACTTTAAAGTGATTGGAAAGCAACAATAAACAGGACTTTAAAGAAAAATGGGGTAAAGCTGGTTGGGATGCAAACTTAACTCTGGACTAGTACGAACAGCACCTGCTTTTGCAGAAGCTTAAAGATGTTACGGGGGCTTTTTGTGTGGTGAGTTTTGGTCTAAAAGCTGAACGCCCCGACACCGGGCGGTGGTGAACCCAGAGCGGGTCACACAGGGAGGCGCCCAGGCGGGGTTGGGATGAGAGGAGACCCCACAGCCCCCTGGGCAGCCCGTCCCAGCGCTCCGTCACCCTCACCGCCAACTTTTTTCCCACATTTAAGCGGAATCGAGCATTTGAACACCCACACGGCGCGGCAGGAGGCCGCTGCCCGCCTCTTCTCCCGGGGGGCGAGCGGGGCTGAGGCGCCAGCCCCGTCACGCCAGGGGCGGTGACGCGAGGCAGCGCCTCACGGGGCGGCGGTGGGGTCCCCGTCCCCGGGGCTGTGTGGGGCGGGGCTGTGGTGCTTGGGGACACTGCTCGGGGGCTCAGCGGGCTCAATGGGCCCGGTGCCCGCTCCCAGGGGCCCCGCCGCTCTCTAACGGCCGGGGCCCGGCGGGGCTCGGGGCCGCGCGGCTGCCGGGGGAGGCGCCGCTGCTCAGCCCCGCCTCAGCCACCGCCTCCCCTCAGCGCCGCTCCCGCCCCTCCCGCCGGACTCTCCCATCTCGCTGTCTGCGGGGGGAGGAGAGCGGGAGGGCGGAGGTGGCGGCGCGGGGCGAGCGCCGCTTTCCCTCGGCCGTGTCCCGACAGCGCGGCTCTGTCGCGATCGGAGCAGCACCGTGGTGGCGGAGCGGGGCGAGGCGGGGCAGGGCGGGCAGCAGAGGCTGGCGTTGTTCAGCGTCCCCCCCCTCCGCGCCGCTGTGGTACGGTCGGCGGGAGGGGCGGGGCGGGGGAGAAAGGGGGCGTGGTTTTGGCAGAGAGGGGCGGGGCTTGACGGGAGGGGCGGGGCCTGGGGGAGGGGCGGGGCTCCGCCGCCCGCGGGTGCTGCGGGGCGCGGCGTGCCCGGGAGCGGCCGGAGCCGGCGTGGCGCTGAGCGTGAGTCGGGCTCCCGGTGGGCTCCGCTTTTTTTCTCCCCTCCTTTAAGCCTCCCCCCGCCTTAATTCCTTCTGGCCCGTGGTCGTTTCTTTTTACTCTCTCATTTGGGGTTTTTTCCCTTAAGCCTGCGTTTAACGGGAATCGCCGGGAGGCGCGGCGGGAGGGAGCTGGGCGCTGCCGGGGCTCGGCCCGGGCTCCGCGCTGCCCCCCGGTGCCCCGGGGCGAAGCAGCGGCAGGGGGGAGCCTCCCGGGGCCGGCGCCTCCCGCTCCCGTCCGGAGGGGCCGGGGACGGGCTCGGGGGCGGCTCCGTGGCAGGAGAGGGGTCCCGGGGAGCCCCGGTGCTCGCGGACCCCCGCTCCGTTCGGCTGGCTGGGGCCGTGCAGAGAGGTCTGAGCCCCCCCGGGATGAGCCCTGGGACCGATCCTGCCCCAAACCCGGCCCCGAGCGCGTCCCAGCAGAGCCGCCGCGCCCGTCCCGAGCGCTCCCGGGGGAGCCGCGGAGCGCCCGGGTTTGCCGTGCCCGGGATCGGGGAGGAAATTTTGGGGATGCTGCAGCAGGTACCGCCGGGCTGCCCGCGTGTGGGAAGGACGGTGCTGAGCCTAGAAGGGGCTGCGGGTGTTTTCCCTTCCCGCTGAGTTACCGTCCTGCCCGGCTCGGGACGAGGAGGCTTGCTGCAGTACTGGGACAGGGGGGGGGGAGAAGCGAGGGGTTAAAGCTCGGGTCAAGGTACGATCCCTTCAGGTCGTGGGCTGAGGTTTGCGATGGAAAGGTTAAAAATGCCTGGGAAACACGCTAGGAAGAAACAGACTGAACGGGGGTAACTTCAGAATAAACGGTTACCGGGGATTGCTTAGAAATTCAGGAACCTGCTGGTGAACAGGGAGGGAGGGAGGAATCATTCCGATCGATAACGAGTTTTTTTATTATTTTTTATATAACTGTACAATTTTTATTATACCGCGTAAAGCACGCGTTTAGGTTTTATTTTTCATACCTGTGTTTGTAGCCAAGGCTAAATCTGCAGAGTTCCTGCTGATGTGGGTAATCAGCGTGAACTCTGATCTGAATCAAGCTGAACAGCAAAGAGGCTCTTAGGAGAATCTGAAACCCAGGAGGCATTTTTCAGACCTGAGTTATGGCACTTTTTTCAGAGGTGCCTCAGGCAATTGCATTTTAAGAAGACAAAGCTTTTGTTTTCCAGCTGGCCTAGAAAAATGTCAAGGATGAATCCAAAGCAGAGGCTTTCAGAAGTTGTCATTTGTGTTTAAGTTGATTTTGCTGTTGTGCACAAAACGCTGCTGCCTTCCTCGCAGGAGTGTGAACAGGGGCTATTTTTATTTTTGCCACCAGTCCCCGTCTACCTGTTTCAGCTCAATTCAAGTGAGTAATGTTCTTTAGTGCTTTTCCTCTGTGAGTGTGTATTTAATTAGCAGGTCAGGTGTCTGCAGCTGCATCTCGGTTATAAAATTAATTGTATGTACTTTACAAAAGGCAGAGTGGAGGTGACACCGGGGCAGAGATTGACACAAAAGCCCTGTTCTGGGGAATTAACACCTGCATGCAACTCTCCGGTTTTGCATCTGAAATACTGGAATTTTCAAGGCAAAGGCTGGTAACAATGGGCAAAGACTGCTTTTCTGTGCACATCCTAGGAAATCCACAGTTTGCATGGAAACGAGAAGTATGCATGCTAATGGGAGGTCTTACGCTTTTCTTGTGGCTAGTGGTGTTCCTTGCAGCTGAAAGCAATTGCAGTTGGCATCCCAGGGTTGCTGGGCTGCAGGCAAACAGCAGAAGCTACGCGGAGGGTACCACGGAGGATGCCCCAGCCTGGATGTGGGAAAGCACACTGCCTGCAATCTGTAGTTCTGCAAGCTCTCAGCGAGGTCCCTCTCGTTTAAGAAGCACTGCCAGTGTCGATGACGACTTATTTTTCCCCAAGTAAAATGAGAACAGGTTTTGTCTTTGGGAAACCTTAAGGAAGCAGCATTTACCCTGTTAACGTGGTCCAAAGCTAGAGGAGACACTGTGGGAATTAACCTCACCCTCCGACTTCTGTTGCCCTGCCTTGCTTTGTTCTGGATGCCCAGGGAAAGGCAATACGGGCGGTGTGAGTCATCTTTTGGCTCTCGTGTGGCACTGTTCAACACAAACAGTCCTGTTTGCTCCCCTCACTGAGGGCGCTCGGATCTTCCTGCGTGGGAGGGCCCGGAGTGGGTGCACCAGCTCTGCTGGAAAGGCAGCTGCTGCTTCCACGGGAGAGGGTGGGTCCTGCTCTTGCAGCACCTCACGGGAATACACTTTTTTAAAATAAACCTTTGCAATGTGTAGAAAGCCATGCATGAAGCAGGACTCAGCCTTGGCTTTGTGGGGCAGGTTCCCCCGCTGATTTTGGGGGGCCTGTGCTAACAGGCAGGGTGCCAGGCTCCAGCAGCGTTCCCACATCTGCAGCAGAGCGCTTCCTTCACTGAACGTATCCGTTTGCAGCCTCTACCAGTCATGTTGCACAACAGTCTTTTTTTCTTTTTTTTTTTTTTTTTGATCTGAAAAGTCAGTTTTTAAAATAGAAACGCGGTGCCAGTATGTTCGTAGAGAAGAGGAATGAGGTGAATGGCATGGGTGCCTCCGGGCTGCAGGCCGCATGAACGCAGCAATTCCCAGGTGAAGTCTGCGGCGTCGGCTGCCCGGTGGGATGGCACGGAGCAGTGGGAGGTGGGACGTGGTTCATCTGGGGCTTTTGCAAGCAGGTTGTGTTTTGACAAATGTGGCCATGGTAGGAAAGAATATGAACTTGTCTTCTGGCTGCTGCTGCAGGCTGGGGGACGGACAGACTGGCTGGAGCCGTGTGTCCCCTGCGGTGTCCTCCCGCTGTGCCCGCCACCCCCGGGGGAGGACAGCCCTCTGCGCGGGGCCTGCCTTCTGGTGGCAGCAGGGTGTGGAAATACGGGTGGCAGTTCTGCCAAGAAAAGATATTTTGATGAAATGAGGGCAGTGGCCGCTTGCTGTGGGAGCTGGGAGGAGATCAGCAGTGTAATCTGTATTGGTGCGCGGATTGCTGAGCTGGGGAGCAGACTGGAGCGGACACAAGGTAGGGATGGGAAGCTGGTGCTCCTCACCTGGGCTCCCAGTGCCTTTACCAGACTGCTTAAACCTCATGCTTTTATCCTGCCTTTAGCGAATTCTTCTGGGAAGATGCTCTAGGAGCATTTGTGAGGGGGAAAATGCTGCTTTAGGACATGGGACCTGCTGCTTCTGCCAGCTGCATGGTGCAGGTGCCGTGGCGAGGGCTCTGTTTGACCGCAGCTTGTAGATGAAGCCGAGTGCCTTGGAGAAGCGAGGGCTGTCCAGTGCCAGCATTTGGCCCTTGGCTGTGTGGGACTGCGTGGCAGCAAGCATCCCTCTGGGTCAGGGGAAGCACGCTGCAGGTGTTGGGTGCCAGGCATGGGGCAGCTTCCCCGGGGAGCGGGGCCCCCTCGACCCTCGGCGGCTCCCAGCCGTGCTCAGGTGCCCCAGAGCACGGTGCTGCAGCCCCAGCCGCATGTCCCAGTGCCCAGGGATGGGCACCTTGCAGAGGAAGGTGCTGCAGGGCTGCTGTCGAGGGCTGGTGAGAGCTGTAAGCTCTGTGAAAATCCTTCTGAGCCTCTCCAGCAAATGAGGCTTCATTCTCTTTGCTCTTGCTACCAGGCTTGCTCTGCTGCGTGATTTGTGCTCGCTCATTTAAGCAGGGCAGTGAAGCTTTGGCCTGTGTGTGTCCCAGCTGCACTGGGGATGGCTTGGAAGGTCCGGTGTGTTCTCGCCACCTCCCCACACCCTTGCAGCGAGTTTCCATGCAGGCACAGGAGCTCTCACCGCAGATTACATCACAAGAGGAGTGAGAATGTAGAGCTGGTTTGGAAACTTCTGTGCCTATAAAACTCCTGGAGGAGCTCTGGTGCAGCTCATCTCGTGCAGCCAGGGTGCGTGTTTTACCTCCAGTAGTTATCTTGGCACCCACGGGGCACAGGCTGGTGAAGAGAAGCTTCTGAAGGTGAAGTCTGCTGAAGGATGCCCTGTGAAGCTAATACTGGAGAACAGCTTCACAGGCACATGGGGAATGACTGTTGCAATGGATGTACATCAGAAGTAGGCACTGGACTTCTTGGCTCGTAATTAGGAGCAGAGTGCTTGCCTGCAGATGGGCTCCCCAGCCGTTTTACTGCAGTACAAACAGCGTTTTCAGGGAGGGTGCGTTAATAAGCCAGGGTTTGCTAATACCTCCTGTGAGCAGAACCACACCTTGTGGTAGGAGAGGGATAGGAAGGGCTTAGATGTTTTTAATTAAAGTTATTGTGAGGAAGAAATTAAACACGGTCTCTTGCCCTGCTTGTACGACGAGCGGAGAGGGCTCAGCCTCCGTGCACCAAGCTATTAGCTGCCTTCTGTTTGCATAGGAAAAAAAGCAATTTATTTTTCAGCTTTTACCCCTGCTCCTGGGCCCTGTTTGCGTGTTTGTTTTTGGCAGCTCATCACTTTGAAGATGGACGTGAACGCTGTTCACCCAGATAGTCCTTCATCTTTTGTTGGCAAATGCTACAAAACCTGTCTTAAATTGCCTCATCTCTCCGAGCGAACAGGCTGTGTACAGGCTGTGTACAGTACTCCTGGTGAACGAGGTGCTTTCAGCCCAAGTATAAGCCAGGCAGTGCTGCTGCTCTGTGCGCTGCTCCAGCCTCTCCTGAGTTCCCCTTCCAGAACAGCCTCTAAACCTGTAAATCTGAAAAGCAGCAGTGGCTGGGGGAAAGCAGAAGGCCACAGCGCTTCTTTATTTCACAGCAAAACCTGCTGGTGCTCCAGCTGCTGGGCTGGGTCCCACGTCCATGTCCTTGGCTCCTCGCTTGTGGCAGTGATGGGGCTGCTGCTGCTGCTCCGTGCTGCCCCATGGCGCTGCGTGCCCGGCAGCGTGGGCTGCTTTGTTTATTGTCTGGAGAATTTCCAGCCCCTGCCTTCCTTTCTCTCTCGAG